AGTCGCGGCCGATATTTCCAGGAGCGGGAAGAAGAAAGCCTGGATAAGTATGGAGGTCTTCATCGTGCTAGAGATGATGGTTGTCTGCTTCCAAGTCAAAATGCTCCAAGCATCGTGATACCTTTGACGGTTTTATACTCAGTTCTCTTCACTGCGTCTCGTTGATGCCACACTTCTGGTGCCATGTCTCTCATCCGCCGCATTTGTCAGAACTAGATCAATGTTGGTCATCCTGTGTAAGCTCCCACAATCCCCTTGAAGAAAACATTCACATACCACATTTGGCAATAAGGCGCCGGTTTTCCGAGCAGTCGGACTTTTGTTTTGCAGCTCTCATTAATGCTCTTTCAGATCAGGCATTAACAACCTGGAACTGACAATGGCGAAGGGACTAGCCATAAGCTTCTTTGGTGGTCATCATCATCACCTCATCGTCCCATCAGTTCCACCGAGTCAGCTCATCCCTGGTCGTGATCCACCATGACGTAGTACACTGTCACCTGTCAGTTGCAACTCCAGAAGGCTCAAACCTCAATCCAAGAGCAGTCTTGTTGCGAGGGCGCCTCTTTAAACAACTAAACATCGCCCTGAAATCATTCCGGTTCCTGGCGAAGATGTGTCATGTCGGACCGAGGTCATACAGACATAAATTGGCTTCGAGAGTGCTTCATCCCGAGGATTTTCCCCATCAAAGCCGGAGCTGCCGTGGTTCCTGTGCAACAAGGTTGAGCCAATGACGGCTCGAGCTGACGCCGGTGCTTTCCACCATTCCCGAGCCAAGCAGCTCTGACGACTCCGTGTGCTTGTGTGCCTTGCCCGGTGTTCCTCCACTCAACGCCGACGCCTCGAAACCCCCAAAATCGTAGTTTGACATGATGAAGACGGTGAGAGAGTGCAGAAAAAAAAGCAAATGCGCATCTGTCCGGCTTCGCAGTCCAAAAAGGCCTCTTTGGGCATCGGACCGAACAATGGCTTGATGACATTTGCCAAGACAGTGGGAGTTCTTGATAGAAAATCCCAACAGTTTCTCTCAGGTGGCAGCTGTCAAGCGCCTGCAGCATGGGCAGCCCGGAGTGCTGCCGGGCCGCTGCACATGGGGCTCTCAATGCCCCTCCTGGCCAGCCCGCGGGGTGATGGTGGATTCTGGCGGGGTGACCTGAACTGCTTCGCTCCTGGACCGGGAAGCCCCCCACTTGCTGAAGCAAACGCAGACTTCCAGACGGAATCCAGGTGCGTCATATTTCATCTTCTTATTCCTAACATCAACTTTGCACCAGCAATTCGTCATTCCCTACACGCGACTTGCGACCTACCTCAACTAACCACCGCACAATCCGCAGTTCTTTACCGCACCAATATCACCATGGGCATCTTTGATGTGAGCCGGTCACCCAATAGCCCTCTCGTTGTCCAGCAGAAACTTACGGTACCTCATCATCTAGGAGCTTAACCTCCCCGCCGGAGTTATCTACGTATGTTCCGTCCCAGGCCAAATACCCACGACCGATGCAATAAAGGAAGTCCAGCTGCTGACTTGACGTCTTTACGGTGTAGGGCGACCATGTCCTGCAGCTTTTCCAGCACGCTCGCAAGGTCGGATACGCCATCCCTGCCGTGAACGTTACCTCGAGCTCGACCGTCGTTGCCGCCCTCGAAGCTGGTGGGTATTCTCAAGCCTTGATTTGCGTGCTCAAACCACTCGCTAACGTCTTTCTGTTCAGCTCGTGACTCCAAGGCTCCCATCATCCTCCAGACATCCCAGGGTGGAGCGTAAGTCCGTGTCTCATCTGTTTTTAACGTTCTGCTCCACGACCTGCTCTGCAGCTAGCTGCAGAGGCCGTGGACCAAGACGTGGGAGCGGATTCGGATACCTGGAACCCGGGCTAACTTGGCAAACAGTGCTTACTTTGCTGGAAAGGGCATCAAAGACAGTGCTGAGAAGCGTGAGGGTAAGTTTGAGAAGCAGTTGTTCCCCGTCTTACTGTCGCTTCCAACGATGCTGGAATGGGTTGTTCGGGCCAGGGTCTTGGCCGGTGCTTCTCATGCCTTCGCATCGTCTTCTCCCTGCTGTGACGGGCTGCTTCCTCGCAGCTTCTTCCTCGGAGCTCCCTTCTCTTTGTTGCACGACATCATGTTGAACAGATGCTGACCTGTTGCAGCTTCCGTTGCTGGCGCTATTGCCGCCGCCCACTACATCCGTTCTATTGCCCCAGTCTACGGCATCCCGGTTGTGCTCCATACTGGTGAGTAGGCCTTGTAGCGCGGTCAAGCATCTTGAAAGCTAACCCTCCTGGCAGATCACTGCGCGAAGAAGCTCCTCCCTTGGTTCGACGGCATGCTTGATGCGGATGAGAAATTCTTCAAGCAGAATGGAACCCCGCTCTTCAGCAGTCACATGCTCGATCTCTCAGAGGAGCCCATCGATGAGAACATTGAGACTTGCGTCCGCTACTTGAAGCGCATGGCTCCTCTCAAGCAGTGGCTGGAGATGGAGATTGGAATCACGGGCGGTGAGGAAGATGGTGTCGACAGTATGTGACCTCGGCCAACGTCGGAGAGAGAGCCTTTGCTAACTGTCACCCAGACACCGGCGTGGACAACAGCGCGCTGTACACTCAACCCGAGGACATCTGGAAGATCTACAACGCTTTCAAGGACATCTCGCCGTACTTCAGCATCGCTGCTGGCTTTGGCAATGTTCACGGCGTTTACGCTCCTGGCAACGTCCGTCTTCACCCTGAGCTCCTCGGCAAGCACCAGGCCTTCGTTCGTGAGAAGCTGGGAACTAGCGATGAGAAGCCCGTCTTCTTTGTGTTCCACGGCGGTAGCGGCTCTTCCATTGAGGATTACCACACTGCCATCAACCATGGGTATGTTGAGTTCACATAGCCGGGCAGTCCCGATGCGTCATGCTAACAACAGAGTAGTGTGGTCAAGGTGAACGTAGACACGGACCTCCAGTGGGCCTACCTGACTGGAATCCGCGATTATATCACCCAGAACATCGACTATCTCAAGACGCAGGTCGGAAATCCAGAGGGCGCGAACAAGCCGAACAAGAAGGTATGTGGATTGGGGTTGTCCCATCATGAGGGCTACACATGCTAATCGTTGTACAGAAGTACGATCCTCGCGTTTGGGTCAGAGAGGGCGAGAAGACAATGGCGAAGAAGGTGGCGGAATGCCTTGAGGCGTTCAAGACGGCCGGCACTTTGTAAGTTTGTCTGTAGGTACCAGGCAGTGGCTGTGGACAACACAGTTGCCAGTGGAGCATAAGGAACAACGAGATGACCTGCTGAAAATGCAGTGCGGGTGTCGCTTTTACCTAGAACCAATGAGAATTCGCTACCCTCATCTTTTCCGCGCGCAGGTTTTGTTTTTGTGTTGCTTTGCAAAGTAAAACGGTCTCGGCGAGAGGCAATATGGTAAGCAATACGAGTTGGTGTGTCTGTCATGCTGTCTCTGTTTTTTCTACTCTCCCTACCACATTTGTTTCGCTTGTCACTGTTGCTGGCGTTTCTTGACCGCATCCTTCCATGCTGTACTGATGGCATTCCAGTATTTATCCGGGTAGGCTTTCATGTGGCCAACATGGGGAGTGCCCTCAAAAGTCTCAGCCGACACGTCCCATCCTTTGCTTCTGGCATCAGCTGCGTGCTTTTCAATGTCCTCCCAATGAATGATATCATCCTCTTTGCTGTACAGATACAATCGCTTCGAGGAAGTGTCGGATAATGTTGGGTCGTTAACGGCCGTTACAGAGAACGCGGCAGCAGAAGTAGCCCCCATGATTTGACCAACGCCATGCAGTGTTGCGAGGAACAGGGCTGCCAGTGTCTGGATGAAGATAAAGGGGACAAAAGGCAAGACCCTCGAGGCCCCGATGGCCATTGCTCGCGACCAAGGGGCGATGTTGGGGAAAAAGGCGGTGCTCCCTGGCGTCGAGTCGAGGACCATGAGGTCATGGGGGAACACTTGAGCAGATTCGGTAGGCTGGGCTCTGGTGAAAGCGTACATGGTGGCCGCCAGGTTTATGCCGCCAGTGTTGGACATGGCTTGCAGCAGGATTCGCTCTTTGGACTCGGTCTTTGGGGGTACGGCGGAGGAACCGAGAGAGGAGATGGGCCCATAGAGGGTCTCGATCACCGGTATCATTGTTTTGGATCGGGAGTCGAGGGTCTGGTAGAGGGTGTTGAGCATCGGGGAAAAGATGAGGATGAGGCGGGCGTACGGAAAAAGAGTCGTATATCCGGTAACATATTTGGAGAGATGTTTGGGCGCGGCGTCGCCCCAGCCATAGATGATCACGGTGGTTGGGTCGCTCTCATGGGCCCCTGGGGAAGGGGAGGAAGCGGGCTCTTGGACGTAGACTTGTTTGCTGAGACGGGTGAAAGCTTTCAAGAGCGGCGCTTCGTCGACATGTTTTTCGGGACTTGGTGAGGAAGGGGCAGACATTTCGGCGTTGGTCAGGTCGGAGTGTTAGGGTTTTGCAATTCTGAAGTTTGAAGGAGAGCTGTGATATTATCAAGAGCTTTGAAAGAAGAAGGCAACATCGTGAAATTGGATACGGGCTATTTATTGTCAATAAAAACAATCTACGAAGCACCCTGCTTCTTCTTCCCCAACAAGCATGCTGGCAATCCACAATCGCGAACATCTTGGGTGGGGTGGTGAGAACTCAATCAGCTTGCATCCTTGCAGGGATGCGTCCTCCGAACCAGTAATGTTGTCAGTGAATACCAGGCTGGCATTGTAAATCCAGACGACAATTCTCAAATTGTAACAGACCCTCGAATTGTTGGGATTCCCAAGACTTTCAAGGGATCATCACGCAGTTGGAATTGACATGTGAAGATGGGGTCCTCAGGGGTGTTGATGTTTAACAGCGAAACCCCACTGCTGGGAATGGAGAGAGCCGAGGTTGACTTGGGTTAGCAGTCACCTCATGCACACTCTTCTCAATCATAGGTGAAACGATATGCAAATATCACTAATTAACAGGGCAATTGGTCTAGGGGTATGATTTTCGCTTCGCATTTCCAATATATGCGCCTTGTGAAAGGTCATGGGTTCAATTCCCATATTGTCCATCACTTTTTGAGCAAACAGACAATTTCTCTCTTGCCGGTCTCATCTTTTTCGCCCCCTAGCTAATTCTCAAGGTCCCAATATTCATGTACCGTCAATAACACTTCAATTGACTTAAATGCACTACCGCATGTGGTAGTCAAACGGACTTCGGATTTCTTTCTGCGGCAGCCGAGGTCAAGTGTGGGTCTCTTGATTAGGTATTCAACCACATGGAAGACTGTAGAGCGTGAGATTGACGCACCTTGTATGTTTTTCAACAGATCCTGTTCACTGTTCAAAATCATCTTTCCATAGTGTCAAATCAAATCGTGTTCCTGCACACAGGCTGTCGTCATGTCTGAACTCATCCCATTTTCGGAAGCCACCAGGGTAGAGAGACTTGACTCTCACACTTACAAGACGAACCTCTTGGACTCGTATTGCATTGGAACTGGTATGTGCTGCTTTACAGGCTTTCCCCAATATCCTTATCCACTGATTAATGTTGGATGCAGTTCCCAACGGCGGATACTCTGCCTCTTGTCTCCTGGAAGCAGCCCGTTTGCATTTGGCATCGAAAAATCAAAAAGACGCCATGACGTCCCATTTTCAATTTCTCAACCGCACCGAAGTTGGCCCTGCTATCATTGTTATCTCGGACGTCAAGCCAGGGAGACAATTCTCGATGATCCACGTCACGCTCTATCAAAGAGGCCTGCTGGACCAAGCGCCCTGGGTTACCAAAGAGACGTCCCGGGCCGAGATTACGGCCTATCTGACCATGACGGATCTTTCCAAGGACCAAGGACTAACACTTCCCACCATCTGGTCCTCGCCGTCCAAGACGCCAACCCCAGACTTTTCTCTGCTCAAAGCAAAGAAGCAGGATAATAACTGGCAAGAGCTGGAGCTCGGCTCTGCTGGGGCCTTCGGCATGTACGCAAGGGTGTTGAACAACTGCCACTTTTACTTTCCCAAGCGAGGACAAGAGCACCAGAGCGTGATCGACCTATGGATGCGATTCAGGGTGCCATCAGAGGGGTTCACGAATTCATCCCTGGGGTTTGTCAGCGATGCTTTCCCTTACGTTGTGGAAGCGTATCGGCCTTCACCAGGCAGCAAAACAGACAAGCCATTCAAGGCAAATGAGATGTTTTGGTATCCCACAATTGTGATGAGCTTGGAGTTGAAGCGTTTGTTGCCCGAGACAAAAGGAGTCGAGTGGCTAAGGTTGAGGATGCAAAGCAAGGAGATCCGGAACGGAAGGCTGGACCTCGAAGTGTTGATTACGGGCGAGAAAGGAGAGCTGATCGCGGTCAGCAATCAGGTCAATCTGATATTGGGTAGTGAGAGAAACACAGGGGGCCGGGGGAACGGGAAGATTTGAGGTCGATCACCAAGAAAGTTTGCGGTTAATCGATCGTGAAGTATCCACTAAATTTAAACGTTGCATTCCACGCAGGGGAAGAGGTAGAGGGTGTGTTTAGCCGGAAGCTACGCGGGTAAGGCCACCCCTTTGTCAACATCCTCCAACACAAATGCATTTCAATGTTCAGCCATGACACCAACTGCAGTGGACATTTGACTTGGAAGGTAAGTAAAATAAACCAGGCTCATACCTAGAGTGAAATGTATTGCATTGGTACTCTGTCAACATCAGATATGGCGGAATCTTGTGTGGGTGATCGTTCTTGCCAAGAGCAAGTTATCACTGTTTTTGCCGACATGGAAGCGATCAGACCAAACCGCCACCCAAAAACCACCAGTCAACTTCGGTGCAGAATTCGTCTGATCCTTGTTCTGCACTCACTCCAACAAACCGTCTTGTAGAGACACGAAAAATGGTTCTCTGCAACGGGAAGACCCCACTCCAACGCAACGCTAGGTTTCTTTAAATCATTGACGTCCTCTACTTCCGCGAGCACACAAATCCCACGACACCACGCCAGATCAAGTCCGCCGCACTGGTAAGTCTAACCATGAGTGCGATACATGGCAGTCGCTTTGAAATTGAAATCTAATCCAAAATAAATAGGAACAAAAATGGCCGGCCATCTTGTGCTCTGGGTTTTGCTCCCAGTCGTGGCTTACCTCTTGGCCGCAGCATGGCATCGCAGGTTCAAGCAGTACGCGAACTTCCCACAACTGAGGCCGTCTTTCATTTGGGGACACATGAAGACAATCCGCGAGTTCACAGTCAAAAACAACGACCGCCCGGGACTGCATATTGGTGATTATCTACTGATCGTGCTCTCTTGCCTGTCGGGACTGACATTTTGCCTGGGTATGCAGACTGGATTCTTCGTGACATGGTCAAAGCCGCTGGTAACCCTTCCGTGCTCTTTGTCGATACCCGGCCCGCCAGCTATGCCATGGCCGTCATCTCCTCCCACGAAGTTGCAGAGCAATTGTCAAGAGCAACGAAGCAATATCCATGGAGCGCTCCCAAGTCCCCTACGATAGCCGAGCTTGTCAACCTCGTTGGTCATCAGTCCATCCTCTCCAAGCAGCGCGAGGAATGGAAGTCGCTGAGGAAGCAGTACAACCCCGGGTTCGCACCAAGGCATCTCATGACGCTGCTCCCTTGTATCATTGACAAAACCGAGATATTCCTCGGCAGGTTGGATAAGCTCTGCGAAAACGGCGAATCATTTCCTTTGACCGACCTCATCATCAGCTTGACATTTGACATCATCGGAGCAGTGACAATGGGCATTGACTTTGACGCGCAGCACCCCAATTCTTCGAGGCAGGGCGAGTTCATCAGGGCTTATGACCAGCTGGTTCAAACATTTCAGGGAAGGTCCAATGCGTTGCCATGGTGGTGCTACCCGAGGCTGTCGCTGAAACGGTTCATCCTCGGCAAGAAAGTCGACTCCCTCTTGGAACTGATGATTCGCCAAAAGCATAGCGAGGAACAACCACAAGAGAAGCGCAGTGTGCTGAGCCTGTCACTACAAGGTCATGACGAGCTTGATGAGCAGCTGCTAACTCAGACAATCGACCAAGTGAAGACGTTCTTGTTCGCAGGGCACGACACAACTTCTATCCTTCTTGCCTGGGCATTCTACTTCCTTCACCGGCACCCTGAAGCGCAAAAGGCACTGGTTTCTGAGCTGGACACGCTCTTTGGACCCGAATCAGGGGCGAGCTTTGAGCTGCTGAAGCAGAAGCTGCTGGGTCCGGGAGGAGATGAATTGCTCAACAACATGACCTACACCACTGCCGTCATCAAGGAAACGCTGCGCCTTTGCCCACCGGCTGGCACGGCGAGAATGGCTCCACCAGGAAGCAATTTTGTTGTACGCACCCCCGAAGGCCAGGAGCTGTGCCTTGATGGCATGATTCTTTACAACTGCGCAACCATTATACAGCGAGATCCGCAGGTGTTTGGCGACACGGCAGATGAATTCATGCCTGAGAGATGGTTGGGCGACAAGAGCGGGATTATGAGCACAAGCAATGACGGGGACAGCAGCATCGAGGAAGGCAGAAGGTTCCCGGCAAGCGCTTGGAGACCGTTTGAACGTGGTCCAAGAAACTGCATCGGGCAGGACCTTGCCACTATCGAAGCCAGGGTCATCATTGCATTTGTGGCGAGGACATACGACTTCACAAAGGTTGGGCTTGGAGAGTTGAAAAGAGACGAAAAGGGAGCTTTCATCATTGAGCAAGCCGGAAAATACCGGGTGAAGTCAAAAGAAATGTACAATGTAAGTTCACGTTCCTCTGTGACACAAAGGCTGGATAACTAACGGAGCCTGTCAGACCCAGCAGGTGACTGCCAAACCGGTAGATGGGATGCTGATGACGGTGAAGAGAAAATGAAGGATGGTGGTCGTGAACCAGGATCTGGGCACCAAGGTAAGCAAGTTGCCTATGGTCAGTGAATAGTGGGCCAGGAGCTTTCCAACTGCCTCTCATGTTATGTTGCGATGGTTAGACTGTTCTTTCAATAACGTACCTACTTCATTCCCCTTGGGCTGTACTTTTTAGAGAGTCAGTAATACATGAAGCTCTTTCCTAGCACAAATCGACTATGCTCGGGCGATTAATCCATCAGCAACACCGGGCTGTTATGTAGGTAACTATCTATAGGTGGCTCTAGACACATGTGACCATGCCACCATCCACGGCAATGACAGTTTATTATAAATTCGCAGCATTTTCCCTGGCTAGGTATGGGTGCCTACAGGTACCGATGGATAAAGGTATAGAAGCAAAAGATACGAAAAGCCGACTCGTCCAACACAACGCCTTAAATGGACGGGCTTCTATTCTCTTATTTGTTAAAAGACAGGCTGTGAAGTCTTGGAAATCCTGTAGCCCGACGAAGCGGGGTGTTGGAGATAGACCGAAAATGTGGACAGTACCAAAGGGCGTGCTGATGTCATTTTCACACGGAGCACCGTCTCACACGAGTGGTCAGATTAGGAGCCCCCTTGGCTTCCCCCACCCTTCAGCCCAACTGCTGACATTTTCATCTCATCGGTTACAATTCCAGGTTCACACACCGCCCGATCCTCCTGATTTGGAGATCAGGAAGGGGGAGAATATGCATTCACTGATGAGGCTTAAAGGCGCGGAGTATGCCGAAGCAACTTCTCGGGTGGTGTTGCCTGCGGCGGCAGCATTGTGTTAAAGGGCCTTGTCCCCCGGCGTCTCTATTCATTCAGTTGCCTCTCCTTTACCTTGCCAAAGTTAGTTCATGACCAAATCAAGGCCTTGTTAACAAGAAATAAAAGCAACCAACGCTGCATCATGGATTTCTTGCCGTCAACAGATAGTTCGCTTGCATCTCAGGTCAGCCAGCTTCAGATCGAAACGGCTACTTGCAGCACAAAGCCGAGAGACGGGACCAAGCCTCATGGTTCACGGCCCTTAGTCGTAGTAACGGTCTCGGAGCTGGCCGTCCCGCCGTGCTCCACTACCGCCGTCATACCGGGGCCCGGATCAACACTCGGGGATTGCCCATCGACTGCCGAGCCGGTGCCAACATTGTCGTCTTTGGTCACCTTCC